GTTGGCCAGGATGGTCTCGATCTCTTGACCTCATGATCCACCCAACTCGGCCCCCCAAAGTGCTGGGATTACAGGGGTGAGCCACCGCGCCCGGACCTGCATTTGTCCTTTCGTATCTGGCTTCTTTCGCGCTGCGTAACATCCCCCAGGCTCGTCGTGTGGTAGCCTGTGTCAGCACTGCTTTGCCTTTCAAGGCTAAATAACGTCCCATTTTCCGGAGACACCACGTTTTGCGTATCCGTTCGTGCAGTGATGAACGCTTGGGTTGCTTCTGCCTTTTGGTTGCTGTGAATAAAGATGCCAGGAACATGGGAGTGCAAATGTTTTTTCAGAACAGGTCACTTTTGGTGATGAGCCAAGAGGGGAACAGGTGTGGAGGGCAGGGCTTCTGGAGCTGCCAGTCTTGGAGGGAAAAGCAGAGTGGTGGGGGGTTGGAGGAGGTCCTGGGCCTGGGGGAGGTGCAGGGGAGGGAGCAGGGCATGGGGATGAGGCGGGCAGCAGCAGGGATGTCTGTGGGGACCCTGCCTTCCCGTAATACACCTGCCTTGGCTTGACTGTCTCTCACCTTCCATGAAATCTTTGGCTGCCTTGTACACCCCTACCTTCCTGACCCACCTGTGCTCCTCTGAGGGTCAGGACCATGTTTTCTCCATAGCTGGGGTCTCCCCAGCATTCCAAAGAGGTAGGGAGAATTGGGGGACCCAAGAGCTGTCACGAAACCACTGTCAGGCCACTGAATCTAGACTTGCCGACCTGTTTTCAGAATTGCTTCCAAGGTTGGGTTCATCCGAGTCTGGCGGGGAAGAGGCAAATACTGGTCACTGTCCAGCAACACACAATGTGGCAAAGGGACAGGGCCGCTGTGATGCACAGCATGTCTCATATGCATGGGTCAGCTAATGCCTGGTAACAAACACCCACAGGGTCACAGCAGCACGCATGGCTTAGCCAGTTTCTGAATCGGCCAGTTATTGGCACAGTAATGATGAATGCCAAACCAGTCCCAAGCTCAGGGGCTGGCTCAGCATCACGGATTCTCCTGGGCCTGTGGCTGGCATGGCTCTGCCTCACACCACAGATTGGGCTGAGTCTCCCACCCTCCTGGGCTCGCTGGGCTCTCTGAGGCAGCTTCTTGTCCTGGTGATGGCAGAGGCAGCAGAAGGGAGGCTCATGTATGCACACATGTCTGCAAGCCCCAGCTCTGCTCTGCCTATGCCTTGCTGGCCAAAGCTGGTCTCAAGGCCACGCTGG